ACCGTGGCAGAGCTCTACAACAGCCCCTGCGTGCGTGCGCCAAGCTCAGTCAGGCCTGACGTTGTCCTCAGGGTGACGGGGACAGGGGACCCAACCACGTGTCACACGGTCGTCCAGAGACTCTTCAACTTCAACTGCGGGGCGCCGGGGCCGTGCGGGTTCAATGGGGTCTATCAGCCCCCCGTGCAGGGACACTTCTTCGTAAGCAGCCTCCGGCCCCGCGCCTGGGGAGGGCCAATGGGATTTTGGGGCATAGTCCCTGGAAAACTGCTCTGCAAGTGTCTGAGTAGTGCCAGCCCTGGGAGCTGGGTTGTGCCTGACACATGGAGACACAGGGGGTGCTGACCTTGCTGCCAGGCAGCCCCAGACCTCGGCTCTCCCAATACCATTCCCTGTCTGTGTGGGCAGCATTCCCGAGCTCCTTCCCACAGGGTCATTGCCAGCATCTTGCGGTGATTGTCCCCTTACAGGGGCCCCTGCATAGCAGTGGGGCCATCAGTGGCCTGAGTGCTTCACTGACCTGTCACCTTTGGTCTTGACACCCACAGGCCTTCTCAGGGTTTTATCACAGCCTTCACTTTCTGAACCTGACAGGAGGGCAGTCCCTGAGCTTGGTCAATGCCACCATCAGGAAGATATGCAACAGCAGCTGGGAACAGGTGAGATTCTGCCCAGGATTGTGTTTCACCTGTGTTTCACTGGGCAGCCTGAAGGCTCATCCACTGCCCATCCTCTGCTGTGGTCAGCTGTAGAGAGCCAGGGTGAGCACAAAAGTCTCTGCACCTGGAGAGAGATGGGAGAGCAGCCTGCAGCCCCCCGGGTCTCTTTGCTCTGCTGGTCTTTGCTCCCAGCTGCACTGAGGGGCTGTTCCCCAGTGTGGGCACATCCAGCGCCGCTCTGTGTCCAGCCTCCCCCTGTTCTCCCACCTCTGCAGGTGCAGGAGTTGTTCCCCACAGCGAGCAGGACCCAGATCCGTGACGCCTGCTCAGCCAGCTCCTACACCCTCATCCTCCTCCTGCAAGGCTACAAATTCAACAGCACAACATGGCCTAACATCCACTTCGTCCGGCAGGTAGGAGAGTGTCCAGCAGCACCCAGCTTCCACACTTTGTGCCAGGAAGTGCCTTGTGCCCACCCTGCTGCTGCTGGGGACGGGGAATAGCAGGGCAGCACAGCCCCACTGCCCATACCCAGGGCAGCTCTTGAGCTACACTCATGCAGCTGCTGGCACATCTGGCCTGGCACTTCGTGCTCTCTCCCAGTTTATGGCCTTTGCAGCCCAAAGTGGGCGCAGAAATGGTGGTTGTGGAGCAGGACCTGGGGGTGCAGGCTCTTCCCTAGTTTGCCTGGCACTTTGCAGCCTTTCCCATCCCTCTTCCCTGTCTGTCTGCACAGGTTGCTAACACAGATGTGGGCTGGACTCTGGGTTACATGCTCAATCTCACCAACATGATCCCCTCGGACCCTCCCACAGCAGTCACAGAGCTCCCGAGAAGCATCTGGATAGCAGCCACAGTTCTGCTGGCCATCATGCTCATCCTCAGCTTCTGCCTGCTCACAGCCACGTGCTGCCAGAGAAACTCCTCAGGCTATGAGCAGCTGTAGCAGCACTGCCTCCAGAGGCTGCCAGGCCCGAGTCCTCCTGCGACACTCTGCAAGGAGCTGGGTCCCAAGAATCACCCCTGTGTGCCCAGAGGCCATGAACGTGTCCTGAGGGTCCCTGAGTCCTGACCTGGCGAGCTGGAACTGGCACAGCTGTAAAACACCCTCCTCATAGCTGTGTGCTCTCTGTTCTCCTTTCCCTGTGCTGCTGGTTGGAGATGCTCCAGGAGGGATGGCTTGGCCACGCAGGGCAGGGGCTCAGCGCTGGAGCCTGGGGACCACCATGCTGTGGGGTGGCTGGAGAAGGGGCCTGGGGGGTCTGGCAGCAGTGGAACTGTCACAGGGCTGGTTACAGCCCACAGCAGAAGCCCTGGGTGGGACACGGGTGGGACACACACATCCTGCCCCATCCCAGGGCCAGGGTCTGCATCTCCCATGGCCAGTGCCAGCACCAGGAGCCGTGGTTTTGGGAATGTTTGGGACTCTGGCCTGGTTGACAGGGCTCTGCCCAGGACTGGGAAGCCCTTTGAGCAGGGGGTGGCACAGCTCCCTCCTCTCCTGCATGAGGTTTCTCTCCAGTCCACTGGTACCCCACCTGTCTGCCCCATGCCTGGCAGACTGCTCATCTTCCCTTGCCAACACAGGGTGACTTGGGCACACTGCTGGGACATGGCAGAGGCAACTCACAGGGTCCCCCATACATTTTTGGGGAGTCTCACTGGCAGCCAAGTGATGGGTGAGTTGAGACACCTCAGAGAAGGAAAAGGCCTGTCCTTGTGCCCTGTTGGCTCCACTGCAAGGTCCAGCAGACACCTCAGTGTCTGCAGGGACAACTCCCATAGATTCATTGCCTCCCCCAAGTCTCCGCCATCACCAGCCCTTACCTGGGAGACAGAAGTAATAAAATCACAATGATTTGGGAGCAAAGTAGCAGGCATTTCCCCATGTGCTGCCTTTTATAATGTTTATTTGGATGGGAAGAACTGTGAGGTGCCCAGCATTCCACAGGGAGACCAAAGGTCTGTTCCTCACTGTGGGAACACAGACAACAACAAGAATCATCCACAGAGCAGGTAAAAATGAGCAGAACCAAAGGCAAAGGCTGTGGGCAGGACCCAGCTCAGCCACATGCAGGGCAGGCCTCACAGCCTGCTGGAGCCTCATCCTGACACCCATGGGCTCCAGGCCTTCTGCTGGTGGGACAGTGCTGTCTCCAGGAAGGCACTGAGGAACACCAATCCCTTTATTCAGGTGGAAAGGAAGAGGATGAGATGAGTGGTGAGATGTGATGATCAGGTGACGTGACGTGACACGGTGATGAGATGATGAGATGGACTCTCTGGAGGGGCAGGGACCACACTTCTGACTGGGGGTATTCTTTCTCCAAGACCATCTGCACATAAGCCCCAGCCACAGACCCTGCTGGGGTCCCACAGAGCATCCCTCAGACTGGCAGACCTGGCAGGGACCCGCCTGGCTCTCGGTGACTGTGCTCAGAGCTGGCATTCCATGGAGCACCCTGTCCCCAGCTGCCTGCACTGTGCCCTGCCAGGCTGGCACTGGGGCACTGTCCCACGGCCAGGCTGGCCCTGCACACCCCAGGGCCAGCTGGTGGGATGGAGCCATGTCTGTAACACGCAGAGCAGTGACAGGAGGCACACAGGCTTGCCCGAGGCTCCTGCAGGCTGATCCCGTTGTGTCTCCATGGGAGTGGAGCTCCTCTGGAAACTTCAGTGAGTGCCTGTCTGCACACTGGGGGCCAGGCCCATGGAAAAGCAGACCCCAGCTTTTGGAGCTGTGGAGGTGACTGTGCTCAGCAGCACAGGCCCAGTCTGTCCCCGCTGGGCTCCCGAGCAGCCAGGCTGCTACACCCACAGCTGCAGGAGCAGGGCAGCGAGCCCCAGGATGAGAGTGAGGATGATGAAGGTGATGGCTGCAGCCCACAGGGGAGCCCTGTGGCCCTTCAGCCTGGCCGGCGCCTCGGCCGGGACCACGTTGGTGAGGTTCAGCATGTACCCCAGCGTCCAGCCCAGCTCAGCACCCCCGGCCTGCCCGAGAGAGGGGACGGGGTCAGCCCTGCAGGAGAGCCACTGCTGCCCCCGGCCGCCCGCCCGCCGCTGCTCTGCCCTCATGGCGTGCAGCAGCTGTGCCCACAGCTGGATGGGGCAGCAGGGCTCTGCACCGCTGCTCCCCAGCACCCACATGGGGCTGGTTCTCCCCAGCACCCTACACGGGGGCTGGCTCCTCCCAACCACCCCAATGTGGGGTCTGACTCTTCTCAGCACCCCAGCATGGGGCTGGTTCTCCCCAGCACCCTACACGGGGGCTGGCTCTCCCCAGCACCTCAAAACCGGGGCTGGCTCTCCCCAGCACCCCAAAACGGGGGCTGGCTCCCTCCCAGGACCCCAGCACAGGGGCTGGCTCCCCCAGAGCACCCCAGGGTGGAAGCTGGCTCTCCCTAGCACTCCCACATAGGGTCTGGGCTCTCCCAAGCACCCCAACATGGGCTGGTTCTCCCCCAGCACCCCAGCATGGGGCTTGCTCTCCTCTGGGACCGCCTCTGCTCCCCCTCACAGGCTGGGAGCGCTGCCCACCTTCATCTGGAAGAAGATATTGTTCCAGCTGGTCTCGTTGAACTTGTAGGCGTCGAGGAGGAGTGTGAGGATGTAGTTGGCATTGGCACAGTATTTCGGCAGTCTCTTGGGATTCTCTTTGGGGTAGCTGGAAGAGAGCTGGGGTGGGGAGTGTTTGGGGATGAAGGGCAGTTATTGACAGGCCATTTCTGTGCAGAGACAAAGCCCTGAAATGTGCTGCACAAGCGGCAGTGTCTCCACAGTCACTAACCTCCAGGAAGAGACTCCTGGGCCAGGCAGTGATTTTGAACCTCTCTATGCAGGGCAACTCCTCTGGGGAGGATTTACACTCCACATGGAAACAGAGGCACATATTGCAGCTTATTGTAGCTCCTCCTGCCCCAGTTCTCCCATCCCAGCTTCTTCATGCAAGGGTCTCCTGCTCTCTGCCCCATGGTAGTGCTGGCACATTTCTGGGCTTATCCACCCCCATTTATTGCCCAGAGGAGCTATGGCTGCTCTGTTCCTGGCAATGCTCAAGGCCAGATTGGATGAGCTTAGAGCAACCTGGTCTAGTGGAAGGGGTCCCTGCCCATGTCAGGGATGTGGAACAAGATCAGCCTTCCCAACCAAACCAGTCTGGAATCCTATGATTCCAAGATTTGACTTGTCTCCAGCATGGTGCCAGCAGTTGGCTCTGCTCTCACCATCCTCCCTGGCATCCCCATCCCCATCCCCATCCCCACCTCCAACCCCAGCTGCTTGTTGCCCTTGCCTGCCCTATCTGCCCTTTTCCCAAGGGTGAACGAGCAAGGAGTGGGCACAGGACAGTCCCAGCTCCCCCCAGAGCTCAGAGGTGGCTCTGCTGTGTAGGACACAGCTCAGAACCTGAGAGCCTTGCCCTGAGGGGTCCCCACTCCCTCCCCCCACCCCAGGACCCCTTTGCTTCTGAATGTTCCACACAGCTTCCATCCTGAGGAACGTACATCCTCCCAGCTCCTTGTGCAGAGCCCCTCGATGGCCTGTCTGACCACGGCCAGCGGCTGCCCCTCCGTCAGGTTCAGGAACTTGAAGTTGTAGTAGAAGGCAGAGAAGGCCTGAAAGGCGACAGACAGAAGCACTGATGAGCTGCAGTGGGGCACCCCCGGTGGCTGCCTGAAGCAGGAGGTGGGGCTTTCCTTCATGGGCTCTGTCCCTCCCCAGGTAGTCCTGGGGCACTGTTGTCCCTGTGCCTGTCCCAGCAAGTGATGGGCTGGGGCTTGGTGCCTGCTGGTGACAGCAGCACGGCCAGCACAGCCAGAGCCTTGCTTGAAGCCTCAATTCTTATTGACAAACCCTGTTTTTTAACAAATCCATGGGAGTGTCCAAGGCCAGGTTGGACAGAGCTTGGAGCACCCTGGGATAAGTGGGAAGTATCCCTACCCATGGCAGGGCGGTCAAGATGAGCTTGAAGTTCCCTTCCAACCCAGACCAGTCTGGGGTTCGATGATTCTCTGCACGGTCCCATTTGGACATTTGGCTGGAAAACCATCCAACAGCAATGCCCAGTGTGCCCTCTGGCACTGGTGCTTGGGGAACCTCTTGCCCCTGTTCCCTGCAGGGAGGTGACAACGCTGTGGGGCAGCGGGGACAGCCCAGCACCGGGGACGCCTTTCCGAGGTGGGAGGACGGATTTTTCTTACAATGAATTTCCCCCGGAGCGGGGGCTGGTAGACGCCGTCAAAGGCGCAGTCCTGGCTCTGGCCGCACGCCGAGAAGTTGAAGAGCTTCCTGAGGGCTGCCCGGCAGCCGCTGGCATCGCCCCTGCCCTCCAGGGTGGCGGCGCCGTCGCCCAGGGGCAGGCGCGGGTCGCTGCCGGCCGTGCAGGGGCTGGCGCGGAAGGAGGACAGCCGCACGGTCTCCTCGTAGCCCTCTGGGTAGCAGGGGTGACGGACTCGGCTGCTGGGGGACGACTCCTAGGACAGCAAAATGCAGCTGCAGCTCCTCTGGAACCTCCTGGCTGCGTGTGGACACAGCCAGCATCTCCCCAAAGCATTCCAGCATTCCCAATTCCTCGGCAGGGAAAGGCCCTCCTGCCCTTCGGTCCTGCTCTAGTTGGCTGTCCCAGCATGAACCCAGCACCAATTCTCACTCTGCTTTATCTCATTCCCTCTCCCACAGAGGCCTAGTTTCAAGGACCCAGCATGTCTCTGCTCTGCCCAGAAGGATCATTTCTGGGGACATGTAAAACCCTCTCTAGCTTTAGAGAGGCCAAAACTAAAACCAGCTCAAACCTCTAAAACCAGCTCTAGCTCTGGTTCTAGCTCCAACTTCATCCAGGGTCACAGTGTGGAACTTTCCTGGCCATACAACCAGGGCAAACCCTTCTGGATCACCAAGGCTGCTCTGCTGGTGAGGTGCAGCTCCATGAAGATGCTCTTCACCTCTGACCTTCCAAAAATTGGCCTAAGAGAGTTCTTCAGCTCATGTTTCTCAGGTTGTGAAGAGTACCTGAGGTTTAAGGGAGCTGTAGGTTCCCTGTGACAACCCTCTTGTTAAGGCATCAACTAGACAGAGCAGGCTGTTCAAAGCCTCGACCCATCCAGTTCTGAGGATCTCCAGAGACAATGACTCTACAGCATTTCTGGGTCTTATTCCAATATCTAATCATCCCTACTGGGGAAAACTTGTCCCCTTTGTCTGGTTGGAAGCTCAGATGTTCCAGCTTGTGCCCCTTGCCTCTTGTCCTGGCAGTTTGCACCTTTGAGAAGAGCCTGGTCCTGCATTTCTGCACACCCCATGTGAAGCCCAGAAGATCCCAAACTGCCCCTTTTGACATTTTCCCCATCCATGGAAATGTCCAAGGCCAGGTTGGACGAGGCAGCCTGGGATAGTGGAAGGTGTCCCTGCCCATGGCAGGGGGTGGAACAAGATGATTTTTAAAGTCCCTTGCAACCCAAACCAGTCTGGGATTCCATTACACCCCTGCTCCTCTCCACATTTGCCCTGCCATGATCCAAGGAGTCTGTCCTTGCTCTCAATCCTCGCTGATGCCTCTCCAGAGGAGCCCTGCCTGTCCTTCCTTTGTGCATTAGCAGGTGTGTGGCTGGCATCACGACAGGCCAGGCCTCAGCAGCCTCTCACCACAATTAATTCCTTGGCCAGCCGCTGCAGCATCTCATCCTGCCCGTAGCAGAGGTAGCTGTGAGTGTAGATGTTGTGTCTGTACCCGTACAGGATGAACTCAGAGGCTTCATTCTGCCTCAGTACTGAACCTTCGGGCATAAAGGTGATTTGAGTGGATGCTCCTCCAAGATCCAGTGCCCCAAAAATGTTGGCTGCCTCTGGATGAAGCCACGTGTGTGCTTTGGGAGAGTACTGCCAACGAGAGCCAGGAGAGAAAGTGGGTTAGCACAGAATGTCCTGAGCAGAATTCTCATCCCATGGAAGACAACAGGATATTGGGATTAAATTCAATGGGTCTCTGCATTGAAACAGAGTAAAATTTAACAGGGTAGAAAATCCATCTAGATTTTCTGAAACTATCACCCACTCCTATTAAAATAGACCTCACATTAGTAAAACAATTAACTAAACACCAGGACCTATTAAAAATTTTAAAAAAATCAAAAAAAGCAAAAAAAACCCACCCAAAACCCTAGTTACTATTCATCACAATACTAAAGAAATAACCAAAAGTCTGCAAAAGATAAAACAGTATGCAAATAATCACTAGTAAGATATAATCTTTAGATAGTCACCAACTACAAATAAGATTTTTAATAAGTTGTGTCACCCCATTATAGTTTTATTAATATTAGTTAAAATACGTTTAAAATTATCCTTCGTATTGCTAATTTAAAATTAAAGAATACTACAGCAAATAGCTGTGTTAACCTCCTTATCAAATATACATAGTAAAGCATTAAGAGACACTTATTTAACAAGGTAAAAAATCCATCTAGATTTAAGTAAGGTGTACTGGTAATAGCTTACTAACATGAATAAATATGCTGTTTAGTCTATTAACTCTACTGTGCTTATAAAAGTGTCCCAGCCAAGGAAAAAATAATGTAGTCTCCAAAGTAAAAAAATAAGAGGGGCCCTTAAACTCTAAAACTAAGAAAAGAAGTCTGCAAAAAAAAACCCAAAGTAATTAGCAAGTTCTCTATACAAAGAGCCAACTGTAAATTGTAACTCGAAATCAACGAAATAAATATACATAAACCTATTGTAGGAGTCTATATATATATAAATTAGTGCAAAATAATAAAAATAATCAGAAATCCCCAAGGGGTGCACATGCTCTTTAAAGAGAGATCCCTGCAGCGAGAAAAATCCCGGTGTGCGCCCAGCACTAAAAATAGAAAAACAAAATTACCATTTCCCTACAAATCTTTATGAAAATGATAAAGTTTTAATTTTTCATCTGCGTGCCAGCATGTGGGCCCCCCTAGCCTCCCTGCCCAGCCAGCTGGGATATTTATCAGAGCCACGCAGAGGTGGAGCTCAGCAGGGGCTGATGTGCTGTGGGCTCACCTGGTTCTGAGTCACCACACCCAGGCCAAAGTGCTGGTGGCAGCTGCCCAGGGACTTGCCCTTCCCAGGGAGGCTGCAGGGTCTGATGCAGGAGGAAGGATTTCTATCCAAGACTGCCCAGCAGCCCCCCAGGAGCCCGACGCTGCCAGCACCACAGCGAGCTGTGTCAGGGCTGGGCCAGAGCTTTGCTCTGAGCTCCAGCTGGAGTGTCCCAGCGCTTCCCAGGCAGGGGGACAGAGCCCAGCTGTGCTGCACTGGCCTCACAGACCCCGAGACCCTCTGAGCTCCTGCTGTGGAGGCTGCCCTGAGCTCTCAACAGACACCCTCATTCCTGACTCTCCCTCCTCACTCACTGGGCAAACCAGAGGATGTGTCTCCTTCCCTTGGATCATTCCCAAAAGCCACTAACCCTGACCCCTCCTACACTGAGAAAGCTTGAGGAAAATGAGAAAAGCTGTATAGCAAAGGGTGTTTCACCCCTGTCCCACCTTGGTGAAGGAGTCCAGCAGGTAGTTGATGGTGATCCAGCCATAGGCACCCTCTTCCTCTCCTGTAAGGATCCGAGCCCCTTTGAATGCCACAGGGTACTCCTGCATGGTTTCAGCGACCTCAGCCAGGATTTCCTCTGTTGCTGAGCTGTTCTGTTCCCTAGGAAGGATGCAAAGGACAGGACACGTATCCAACTACAACAGAGGAAACACAGAGAAAATCTGGTTCTCTCCCAGTTCCACATACTGCCAGTTTTTGCAACAAGCAGTCTGTCTGAAAGGGTTTTCTGCCACATGGCTTCTCTGAGCTGCTCATCCAAGGTAAAATGCAGCTGTCTCAGCTTGGCATTGCCAATCTAGGAGCAACAGCAACCCCTCCCCTGCAGTGCAGCTTGATCCCAGTCACCCAGAGCCTTCCCAGGCCACCCTTCCCTGCCTGAGTGCTGGGAGCTGGAGAGGGTTGTGCTGCAGGACCTGCATTTGAACATTACCCCCTGGCTGTGCCCAAGACAGGGCTGGTTGCTGACCTCCAGGGATTTTTCAGGAAGGTTCCAGGCTGGGTTCAGATCTCTCAATGGGGAAGATGTCTCAGGGCTGTTCTTGCTCTCTGAAGTGAGCAACCTTCAGGCTATGGCCCAGCTCCTTCCCAGGTCTGATTGCCAGGGCACAGAAATAATGTGAGCTATCTGCAGCCATAAAACCAAGAGCCATGAAATGCAGGCTGCCCTTCGAGGAGAGCTAATATGGGCTGCTGAAAGGTGAGGACAGGACCTGCAGCACTTTGTCGCCTCCTACCTCTGCCCCACCAGCACCTACCCACCCGGGTAGGTGACACATCTGCTAGCATCCCAACCCCCTTGTTATTAAGGAATAATGAAGAGCAAACAAAGCTGTGAAAAACATTTCTTGCTTAGAACTGGGCATGCAGCACCATCCTGGGATGTCCTAACAGACAAATGCCCGGGACAGTTCAGCACTCCCTGTGTCTCTAAGCTGCCTTTTCCCCCTCTCCTCCCTCCCCAGTCGTTTGCTCATGGCAGTGTGGGAGCGGAGGTCCTGGCCCTGTGCAGGGACTGTCCTGGCACTGGCTGTTTGCAGCTCTGTCACTGCTGCCACCCCCTGCCCCCAGCAGTACCTCAGTAACCTCATGCCAGCTGTTGCTCCAAGATAAGCTGGGACATCCCTCTGCTTCTCAGCAGGAATAACCTCCAAGGCTTTAGCCAAGCACTCCCTCAGGGAATTGCCAGCTTCAGGAGGATTGTTGGCATAGCTTGATATGCCTTGCCCTGAAAAAGAGTCAGGATGGGACAGGCTGATGGAAATGGCTTGGGTCAGGGCTGCAGGAGCAAGAGGGCAGGGAGGGCTGTCACCTCTTAGCAACAAAGGTACTTTTCTAGGGTCCCCTGAGACCTGACTCACACATCCATTCCTCTCCCGTGTCCCCGTGCTTTCAGCAGTGTCCCCAGTCACTATAGGTGACACCTTCTCCAGCCAGGACAGCAGCTAGGGGCACCCCAAGATGGAGGAACAAAAACTGATTCACCATTCATGTGCTTCAGTCCCCCCAGTGCATGGGCACCACACGGTGCTGATGGCCCTGGGGCTTAGGGACCCCCAGCCACAGCCACAGCCCCCCTGTGCCCACAGTGCCAGCCCGAGGGACAGGGCTGTCCAGCCAGGTCACCACTGGGACAGGGCAGGACAGAGCCCATGGCAGGGGGATACTGACCCTGGACATGACAGGCCAAGGTCTGGCTGACCACTCCGGTGTCGTTCTCCTTGTCTGAATCCCACTCGTACACAAACAGGGAGGTGTGGGATGAGCCCGCATCAAACACCATCCCATACTGCAAGGGAAACCAACACAGAGTCAAGGTGGGGGAGCAGCAGCCTGGCCCTGGCCCCACTGTGGCCCTGCCAGGGCAGTGAGGCCAAAAGATTCCCCCAAACCCATGTCTGAGGCACAAAAACCATCAGCTGTGCTGTGGCAGAGCAGAGCGGTGGCCTCAGCCCCCCGCAGTGACGAAGGGACTTCATTCCCTCTCCTGAGCTCTGTGCTGCGATGCCAACTCACACAAACATTTCCTGCTGTTTCCTCATGCTGTTTCATTTTCTTTCATGGTCACACACCTTTTGTGGCCGCACTGGCCCCACCTTGGGGCTCCCTGCTACGCCATGGGCAGCGCGGCAGGGCCTCTCCAGGAGCACTCAGGCACCTGCCCCTGCCCCAAAAAACCTTGCCCCAGCCAAAGCCCTGCCCGCCCTCTCAGCAGGGTGGGATGCCATGCCCGGGGCACGGCAGGATGTTTGTGCCATGCTCTGGGGGTAGGGACGGACTGGGGGGAGCTGGCAGGAACAAAGGGCACACCGAGCTGCCCTGGCAGAGCACAGGGAGCATCTGCCCCAGGGTAATCACCAAACCTGGCATGGCACCGTGGGGATAAGTTCCAGAGGAGCCTTCCCCTCTGACTTTCTTCTGCCTGCACCTCCAAGTGGGGACAGAACACCCACCCTGCTACTGCCAGGCAGGTCCTGACCCCACTGCCCCTCCCAGCCCCACGGGGCAGCTGCTGGCTCGGAGCACCTGCCCAAGGTGCCCCACAGGTGCTCAGGGACCCTCTCTGGGCTCACCTTGACCGTGGGTGGCAGTGTCACATCTTCAACCCCCACCAGGCTGAGAACCAGGGCGATGAGGGACAGTGCCACCAGCGCCCCGATGATGGCACTGGTGAAAGGCTTCTTCCTGGCCAGCATCGGGGGGAAGGCTCCTGAAAACCCAAACATGGGAGAAGTGTGGCTGGACACCTGGGAACAACGGTGTCAGTGAGAGCTGCAAGGAGATCCGCTCTGAAAGCTGACCCTGTCTCAAGCCACACCACTCAGAAATCCTGATGAATAATTAGATTTTTACCTGGGAAAAGCAGCATTAGGATTAAACACAGGGAGCTGGAGGAAAGAGGGGCTGGTTGCCCTGCAGCCTGGCAGAGCCATGATGGGATCACAACAATCTCCCAGCTCCCATACCCGGGTCTGGGAGGGGTGAGAGGAGCCCAGCCCAGAACACAGGAGAGCATGGGGAGCTGCAGAGCCCTCAGCTGAGGCACTGCAGCTGGGCAGAGAGGCTGTTCCACAGGCTGGGAAGGGCAGCTCACCTGCCTGCACTCCTGAAGCACTGCCCCAGCTCACCAGGCCATGCCCTCTGGTGTCCCTCGGGGTCCCTCTGTGCTCCTCCAGTGCAGCAAGCGCAGCTTGAACTTGCCTTTTATGTCCTCTGGAAGTGGATACTTCTGGAAAATCTTCCCCCCATTGTTTTCTCTGAGACCTCACCAGCCTTAGGTGGAACTCTTGAATATCTGTTCTCCTGTTTGTCTTGCAGGTGTATATTCATGGCCCAGTTTGGCATTGCCCTTCTCTTCAGCCAATTAGTTCCTCTTCCTCCTCATTTGAATGGTATCGTATGAAGGACACATCACTGTATTTAACCCTTATCCCTCTGCTTCTCTGGGCTGTCACACCCCTCTTTCTGTTTTCTCTTTGCTCTTCCCAGCCTTAACATTCCCATGACAGGCTCTCTGCAAGGTCTGGAAGAGGTGAGAGTGATATTTGCAGCATGCACTGCCCAGCAATCTAACAGAGTGGTAGGTACCTGATATAACTTTCCCTGCAGTGAGGTGGAAGCTCACACCAGAGGGGAGGATTGCCCTGCCCGGGGGTCTCAGCAGTGCCAAGGCACCATCGTGGCCCAGCTGGGGCTGTGGTCACCCCTTCCCTGGGCTGGACCCAGCCTCGTGCTGCTCCTGGGGCCCCTGCAGACCCTGAGGGCAGGTGAGGGAGTGGGGAGAACTCAGGACTTCCCTGGGAGCAGAAGGGCAGGGGAGCAGGGATGTGCCACAGGGGAGCAGGGATGTGCCAGAGGGGAGCAGGAATGTGCCACAGGGGAGCAGGGATGTGCCACAGGGGAGCAGGGATGTGCCACAGGGGAGCAGGGATGTGCCACAGGGGAGCAGGGATGTGCCAGAGGGGAGCAGGGATCTGCCAGAGGGGAGCAGGGATCTGCCACAGGGGAGCAGGAATGTGCCACAGGGGAGCAGGGATGTGCTCTTCCTGGCCCTGCAGCCCAGCTGCTTCCTGCTGCTGCAGCTCCCTGGTGAGAGCCTGCTGGGGCTACCACAGGATCTGCTGGGGCTAACACAGGATCTGCTGGGGCTAACACAGGATCTGCTGGGGCTACCACAGGATCTGCTGGGGCTACCACAGGATCTGCTGGGGCTACCACAGAGCCTGCTGGGGCTGCCACAGGATCTGCACGGGCAGAGCCAGCTCCAGCTGCCCCAGCTGAGGCAGACGAGGCAGTGCCGGGAGGGGAACGCTGTTCTGGAGCTCTCACTGCCCTGCCCCTGTCCCTGCCCCTGCCCCTGTCCCTGCCCCTGCCCCTGCCCCTGCCCCTGCCCCTGTCCCTGCCCCTGCCCCTGCCCCTGCCCCTGGCCAGCACCGTGACAGGTGTTTCAGAGGTGCTGCTGTGTGCACTGGCAGTGTCACCATGCTGTGACAGCAGGGCTCCTCTGGCTGCTCCCTCTTCCTGCTGTCCCTAATCTGGGCTCTTCCACCCCGTGGGCAAGAAGCAGATTCACACTCTGAGTCGAGATAATGGCTTTATTTCACATCTATGCAGAGATGGGTGCTGGGTGGTGAATCAAAGCTGACACCCTCAGCATGCCAGGTGCCCATTTTTACATATTTGAAGCAATAGAAATGAGCAAATCCAACCACAACTAGTGCAGCCATTGGTTTTGCAGGCTCTGCCTCATTTAAAGAGACCCTGCATGCTTCTTTTACTACTTCTGCTCTGTGAGGAAGGGACTTATGTGAGTAAGGGGGATCACAGCCTGTGGGCAGGGATTTTACTATGCTAATAAGCACTGCAAATACACAAAGTTGTTCTTTGGCTTTGTCATTTGATTTATAGTGTCCTCCTCCTCTTCACTTCCCAGGTCATGGCTCTCCAGCACTGCAGGATTGGTTATTCCTTTGTGTTTCGTAAGTTCTTTTGTTTGTGCTGTGCTGCAGTGAATTTTTAACTTTCTCATGGTACTTTCCCTCTCTGACATTTAGGGAAATGTCTGTCGTGCATTTCCTGTAAGTCTCACCCTATTTTTGGAAAAACATAGTTGACTCTTACCTGAAAGAACAAAATAAACACAAACTCTTTCATTTTGAGCTATGATGGCATGTCAGTACATTGCACTTCAACGTTCCCATGGCAGTCTCCTCTGGGGTGGCTCCTGAAGCCCAGAGGGTGCCACCACTCCTGCATTCCCACCTCCACAGAACACACAACCTTTGGATTCACCTGGATTCAGTGGGAGGGGGGGATGAGTGTCTCTGCTCTGGAAATCCCCTGCTGACTGCACAGGGCTGTTCTGAGCACAGGGGTCTCATCCTCACTTAGGACAGAGGCACCAACCAGCCCTGGTCCCTTGGGGACATGTGGCACTGCCACTGGCTGTGTGCACCCAGAGCTGACCAAAACCTCCAGCTCCAAACTCAAACACAGGATAAGCAGCTCTTCACTTTTCCTGTCCCTTTTTGTAGTAAAGAAACAGCCCCAGAGGTTTTGTTGAGGGGCTGTTCCCCCTTGCCCATGCTGGCCCCATGGGCAGCTCTGCAGCTCTGCCAGGTGATGCTGTGCTGGCTGGGCTCTGGCAGGAGCACAAGGATCTGTGTGGAAGGACACAGTTCCAGCTGCCTTAGCTGAGTCAGACGGGGCAATGCTGGGAAGGAAACGCTGTGCAGGGGAGCCCTCATTGCCCTGACCCTCCCCAGCAAGCCCCCAGCAACACCCTGGCTCTGTGCTACATCCAGCCCTCAATTTTCTTCAGACACTCCTGCCCAAAGGGGTGTCTCTGCTAAATTCGGGGTCTCAGGGTGATGTGGTGACCTGGAAGGGCCATGGGGTGCATGGCTCCCAGGGGCAGCTGCTCTCAGCTGGCTCCCCTCAGGTCCTTGGGCACATCACCCCAGCCCTGTTTGGCTTCAGGGCTGTGCTCTGCTGAGAGTGAAATGTGCTATTTGCTCCTAATTGAGAAAGGGACCGAGTGTCTCATCCTGACTTCTGATAGACAAATCTGCTGTGGGGAAGTGTGGCCAGAGTACACACACACCCCTGTTTGATCTGCTTTTGGCATGTATTTATTTGCCTGTGGCCCTTGCAATGACTCTGGCACCCAGCAGGGAGTTGCCAGGCTGGTGTGGGGACTCGGCGGGGCTCTGGGCCAGACACCACTGCCAGGCTGACGGCTGTTTGTGAAATGACATCACCTCCACTGCCAACACCTTCCTGCTGCCTTCCGAAAGGAAAGCACCTTGACTCAAGCTTAAAAAAGAGAGTCTCATTTCCCAGAACTCAGTTTCTGCTCCGTAAGGTCACCCCAGTCCCAGGGTGGGAGGTGCAGGCGGTGGCTCTGAGCATGTCCCATGCCTCCAGGAGTGCTGCTCCACTTGCTCTTGCCCCATGTTCCTCTGCCAGACGTTCTCTGGGTATTGCTGGGATTTGTCCCAGCAGAGACCAGCTCCAGCCCTCCCCCCCACTCTGATTCCAGCAGGACTGGAGGAGTCTGGGCCATTTGAAGCTTCCCTGTCCTCAGGCACTGCCCATGGCAAGCTGCAGGGAGGGATGGAGGTCCCTTGGGCCACCCATTCCCAGATGGCTTTTGGGAGCCCCCTTGCCCCTCTGGAGGCCCAGGCCATGCTGGAGCCCTGTCCTCTGCTGCTGGGAGACCATCTGGGCTGTGGCAGGCAGGCTGTGCTCCGGGCATGGACGCAGCAGCACTGGCTGCTCTCCTGCAGTGTACCCCTCCCCAGGTTCAGATGGCTCTCCAGGGGCTGCTCCCGTCCCTGCAGGAGCTGGGACACACGGAGGAAGGTGGCAGCTGGGGCTGCTACTGCCCCTGTGCCACAGGAATGCTGCTTTGGCACCTGGGCTGGGCTGTGCAGAGGCTCCTTCCCCAGCAGCCCAGGGTGCAGAGGGGCTTGGGGTGGCATCTGCAGCAGCAGCCCTGGGAGCTGCACCTCCCTCCCAGGGCATCCACATGGGCAGACCAGCAGGGCACTCCCCTGCTGCTGGGCTCGGGAAAGGACCTGCTGGCAGCAGCACCCACCCCACCGGCCACAGCAACGAGAATAAACCCAGAGGTGACATTTTCACCTTTGCCAGGGCGCTCTGCAGGCGGGAAGAGTGCTGGCTGGAGCTTGAGCAGTCACCAGCCCAGGCCAGGCACCTGGATGCTCACACTGGGCAGGGAATGGGGTCAGGGTCCCCCAAGCTGTGTCAGAGTGGGGAGGCTCCAGCAGGATTTCTCCATGGGGGATGCTCCCAGAAAGAATTCTGTGTGTCCACAGGCTGGTGTGCCAGCACTAATGCCCCAGCAGGGTTTGCTCCAGGACCTGGTGGCCCTGGGCACAGCAGGTGACTCCTCTGCACCAAGCATGAGTCCTGAGAAGGGACACAGGGTGGTCCTGGCTGCGAGACCATGCCCCCACCCCAGCACCCCCACCAGGGCAGCACAGCCAGAGCTGCTGTTCAGTGTTGTGTCACCCCTGTGTCCCCACACACCCCAGGGAAGCCGCCTTACCTCGGAGGAGCAGAGCTGGGACACGCTGACCACTGGTTTGTCCCCAAGGCAGCAGCAAAGCACTGGCAAAGGCACCGGCAGGTGAGGCGGGTGGCACAGCGACGTGGCACACGGGGGATGTCC